TTTAGTGTGGCACATTTTCTTACTGTCACCATTGAGGTAAACTCTGAAATCTCTAGTAGCCAATTTGTTGCTTTTGAAGTTCGAAAAGCGAAAGAAAAGCTGAATTATTCTGGTATGTACTGACGTATTTTTGAGAATGAAAATGTTATTGCATCTTAAACGTATTGCGCGCATTTGTTATGTCTATTAAAATTTAAAAAAACGCTAGCAAGGTTTCTTGTTTAACATATACATTTTCTTTTGAGCTGGGTGTAACATATATCACAGAGTACATAAAAATATCAAACAAGTGTTTTAATGCTTAAACAATGTCATAGTTGCTAATTAACAGATGGGAGCTGTCGAGAAAATCCTTGAACTTTAAACAGTAGCAGCATTGAAAAGAAGCAGATTTCCATGTGTTTCTGAAATTAAATTAAATACAGAGACAATGAGCAGTATTAAAGCTCATAAATCCATATTCAAACAACAGATATTGGTAGCAGAGCAAACGAGGACCTCAGGCATCAGAGGTGGGATCAGGTGCCATAGAAGAGTGAACATCCCTTGCTGAACGGTCACAACCACCGTGTGATCCTAGTCATGATCGGGGGAAATCCGTAGACAGTTAAATGAAAAATTGCATGTAGAAAAAATGACTTAACGATAGCTGACAATCACCAGCACTGTGGTTTAGGGTTAATCGTACATGTAAGCAAATGAATGGTTAAAGAAGTGGATCCTACACTGTAGCTGATTGGCTGTGATTCGAGCTTCCAAGTGAACATAACACATAACATTTCACATGGAATCCGTGCTTCTCAGCTAATTCAATTACCCAACCTTCCAAGAAGATAAAGCATTTGATCTTTAAAATGTCTTATGCTTAACAAAAACAGATAAGTTGTATCAGATATATGTTAGACTAGTAAATCATGTAGTTTGATAGGTCATCGTGTGTAATAAAAATACTCACAAGGGGGGGGGGGGGGGGCTACATTAAGTGCGTGTACAAAATAACTATTCAAGTTCTTGTTAAGGAAAATGGGTATTAAATTTATGGATGGATTCGTGATTTCCAACTAGGAAGGGCTAAAAAAAATTATAAAAAGGACCAATTAAATTACCCCCCCCCCCTTTCTCCTGAAGGATGAGGGGAAGGTATATCGCTAATTGTATTTTGGTAAATATCTGCACCGTTAACAGATGAGTACATTTGGAATATATTTACAAGAGATCGATCAAGGGATCAAAACATTATTAAATATCCTGTTATTTGAGCATTAGCAGAAGTACCTGCATAGATACCAGCAGTTTCGGTAATTTTGAAGAAATTTATGTTTATCTGCCACTGACGAAAATCTACAGGGAAACAGGGAGAAAATATCACCTTGAAATTTCTCTTTATCAAACTATACAATTTGCATAATCCGCTTCGTACTGTACGGAAGCCAATTTAGGACCTATCAAAAAATATTTTTGAATTCGTTATAACGATTTTTAGAATTCGTTATATAACGAATTTAATTTGTTATAACAGATTTACTGAATTCGTTATAACGAACTCAATTTGTCATAACAGGTTCATTGAATTCGCTATAACGAATTTAATTTATCATAACAGATTCATTAAATTCGTTATAACGAATTTAATTTGTTATTACAGATTTATTGAATTCGTTATAACGAATTTAATTTGTTATAACAGATTTATTGAATTCGTTATAACGAATTTAATTTGTTATAATAGATTTATTGAATTCGTTATAACGAATTTAATTTGTTGTAACAGATGCTTTAGTTTGCTTTCGTTATAACGAATTTAAGAAGTTTTTAAAGATTTGTTCTATATATTCGTTATGTAAAACATGGATTCAAGAATTTGGTTATAATGATTTTAACAATTTAAAATATACACTACCCAAAGATGCTTCCACAAAAGTTTCAGCTTCCCTGGCCCAGAATTTCTTGAGAAGAAGATTTTTTAATGACCCCACCCTATTTTTGTCTTTTATTGATTATAACGAATTCAAGGGAAATCTTTGTTATAACAATTTAAATTCGTTATAACGATGCTTTGTAAAAAGTTTATAACGAATTCAAATATATTTTTGAAAGGTCCTAAATGGGCTTCCGTAGTACTGGAAACTGTTTTAAAAAACTGAATATTGAACAAATGTGTTTTGAGATGTATTAGCAGACAATTTAATGTTTAAAGTACACCCTACATCTTTCTTATCATAAATCATAGTAATATATCGTACGAAGTATTCAAGTTCTTGCCGCTGGAGAAAGTGGCGAATACTATTAAAATGGGCTAACTAAAATCATTCAGAAAAAATTGCAATCATGCAGGTTGTGTAGTTCTTAAAAAAACCCTCGGCCCTGGGTATTTAGAAAACATTCTAAGTACTTGGATATGATGAGCAAGCATCCTCTATAATCAAAAGAGCCCAGTCCAAACAACACATCCCCTTACCCCAGGGGCCATGAAGTTCGCATTTTGGAAAGAGTGCCTTGCTTATCATAACCATGCACTTAGTAGTTTGCCAAATAATCCAGGAGTGAGATTTTCAAATATCCAGAACCCCTGTCATAGGGTCTAGACATTGACAACTTGGGAAAAGGCATACCTTGTTCATCATAACCATGGACTCTTTGCTTATAACTCAGGGGGGAAAGATTTCGTTTAAAAAATTATGCAATTTCACTATATGTTCAATACTCCAGGAACTCTGACCATTGGTGCCATGAATTTCACAATTTTGGTAAAAGACTCATTGCATGCTATTATCATGCCAACGAGTTGACTACATGATGTCCAATAGTACAGAAGATTGTTGAAAAATACATTAATTTTAGTGGTTTTAGCCCCACTCCTCAGCCCCCCAAATGGATTATATATATCATGAATTTCACAATTTTTACCCCCCCCCCCCCCCTTTTTTTTGCCTATAGATGCTCTGTACGGAAAATTTAGAAATTGAAATTGGTTCAATGATTGCAGGGTAGCTGAAAATGTTCAAAAGTTACAAAGAACAAAAGCAGATTGCAATAGGTCACCTAAGTCACCAAAAAAATATCTCAATGCAAGTCAGTGCTTTAACCACTGACATTTTTCAAAAAAACAAGATGTTTTCTTATTTAGATGACTTTAATCATGTCATTCATATTTGTTCATTAAATGAAGTTATACACATTATTATAAGGAATTGTACATCAAAAGCATTTACAACTCAGATCATGCATATCACACAACCCATTCAAAAACAATGACCCACTGACCCTAAACTGGTCCTCCACAACCTTAGGTCAGGGAACAAGCTTACAAAATGAAAAATTTTCCTTACACAGACATTACAACATTTAACAAAACAACAGTGGCAGTTCTTTTTCTGAGTTCACCTTACAGCTCAGATTTCAACATCAAAAAAGATCAAATTTACTTTGTATTAAAATGTATTAAAAGTGCTTATCAGGGATATGATAGATTACTACATGCAAATTGTGCATGGAATTTCATTCATGGTGGAGCTTTACATCAAGTTTTTGTCTGAGAACTTCCTCTGTAATAGGATCTGTAAATCTCGACTAATGTCAAAACAGAGACATGTGGGAGATGATGCAGCATAAAAGCTGATGTAAAGATGAAACTTTTAAAAAATTCTTGTATACATGATAAAAGGATATACAGCAAATACCCATATTTGTTCAGATTAAAAAAAAGAAATATGCAGTTAATATGATACATCATTTACATACATATACTACATCATATATTTTTTTTCTTCTCTAAAACATTGTATAGTTGTTTATGCTTAAATTATTTCTACCATGAAAAAAAAGTTGATGAGACTTTAAAAATGACCCTGTCACAATTTTTTCCTCTAATAGTCCTATATTGATGAGACAAAGTCTAAAAAATATCTCATTGGCAAGATTTATAGTCTTTGCAATAATTCTGATAAAATGAATAGTTATTACTTTTTTCTGTGAGTATATAATAATAGTACATGAAAAACACACATGCAAACTTCACATCTCTCACATATATTTCATTCTTTTGCACCTGAAAGACAAGTTAACATGATTTTATCCTCACTGCTTCAAAAAAAAAAAAATTCATACATGATTCATCCAACTTTCATTTCAATCTTTCCTTACAAACTATCAAATAATAATTTCTGTCTCTGTCTATTTTCCATTTGTTCATAGGAATTGGGCTGACAAAAGTCATCACACATCAAAAGCTGTAATTCCGCAGACATTCAATTCGCTGACAATAATTTTCACAGACACCAGCCTTCTTATTTAATGAATTTGTTTTCATTTCTTTAAGACCCTCCAATCACGGGTTCATGGATTTTATCACAAAGAGTCAGCTCCCCTTGTAAATATTTTCAACAAAGAGTAAGCTCCCCTTGTTAGCTTTTTCAATCACTTGTTCAAATACTGGCCTCACACCCATTACTGTTAGATGATGATGAAATATACACGAATGATTATTTACTTTCCTGTGACAATAGGAATACACCCTATTAGATTATATAAACATGTGTGGATATTTTCAACACAATTATAATAGGAATATATCACTGGGTGAATGTACAATCCACAGAATTATAGACCGATCTCACTCGTAAATACAAGTCTTCTTTCAGATTATAAAAAATGTGCCGGTAAATAAAAAATCCTTTACATCTGTATGTGATAATTATAAATCTGTCATATTAAAAAAATCCACCAAAGTCAGTACATTTGGTACATAACATCACAAGAAGCTTACAAGAAATACATATATGTGTTAAGATTGTACTCGTACAAAGTAAGATGTGAAATCTACATTTTCCCCTCCCATTTTATTTCCCCTATAGAGAAGGTACAGTCCTTATGAACACACTAAGAATTAATTATAATATCAATAAGTACAGTCCTGATACAGAGAAGGAGATTTTCAAAGAATTCATGTATTTTCACCATATGATCAATAAAGCCCCCCCCCCCCCCCAACACCAGACAACATCGACTTCTGATCTCAAGCCAAAGACAATAAATAGCGTAAAAAGCTAAGCCAACTCCTGAGTGACTTGGACAACACAAGATATGTCAATAACCTTTGCCTGTTCAGAGTCCTTGACCCTTGACCCCTAATTCGGCTTACAGTCATCGCTGATTTCTTTAATAAGGTGTTCTGTCACATTCTCACTTTTAGACACAAGTTTTCTTCAGCTCACATGGAATTGACCAATCAAAAAAAAGCTTCTGTCTCCCCATGGTGGAATGGTAATAGTCTCCATTTTTATGGCATATTAGGTTGCTAGGGGGCGTGTCTCATGTATCTAAGGAAGATGCTGAAGTACCGCTACCAGATTGTTGAGCTCGCTTGATGTATAAATTTAAGAGTTTTACCTAAAAACAAGAAAATGAAAATAATTAGCAAAACATCAAAACAATTATTCTGGACACTTCATTTTCTCAAATTTCTATTCCATTTTAAATCGTTATCATTTCATTCTTTTTTTTGCCAGTTTAAGATAAATGGCTTTAAAAGGAACCCCTGTTTTTAATGGCTCTATCATATCAAATCAATTCAAATACTTTGGTCCACCAAATATAGCATGTAAAAATAGGTCAATTCAAAGATTGCACATTTTTTTAATGGCTAAACCACCTATTTATTTTGAAATTTGTGATTTAACACCAAATACCCTATAATTTTCAAGTAAAACAAAATTGTACTGACGTTAATACCTCACACCATGACAAGTGAATCATAACTGAAAAACAAGTTTAACGATTTCATAAATGAAGGCAAAATGAATATTTTCTGCAGGGTCTTCTTTTTTTATACGAGATAACGACAAACATATATCAATCCTGGTAATAGCTTGCACCAGCTAATCCAACTACAAATCAATTTATTAATGTGACTAAAATTACAGCTAAGATCATTTCCCAATTTATCGCTGACAAAAATCTGAGATTTATGAGATTTCTCATACCCAACCCTGTATTCAATATTGGACCATAATTTCATAATTTCCTATCTTCTGGAATTTAAAAAGAGATACATTGGTGTCCCTATGCTGATAAAGGTAATGAGAATGACCTATAAACAAGTTATATTTTTATTTAAAAACCCAGGGCTCTTTAAAATACGAAATGGAATAGAGGGAAAAAGTCAAAGATATCTGGAAAGTTATTCTGAGAATGAAATATTCAAGTCAAGACAGTGATTAATTCAATATTTTGAATTCTAGGCGATATTCTGACTAGAGACATGGGAAGAGATATATTTTTTAAATTTTTAAACGTTTAAGAGCTGGAAATGTGTAGCAATCAATTTCATTGATATTTGAAGTTAAAGGGACGGCAATAAAAAGATAGAATGCATCATTAAACCTGAATATGGCATGAAGTTATGGAGGACAAATACTGATCATAATCTATTCCAACATCACTTTGAACTTTAAAGATTCATAAAATGCATTTTAATATTCTCATTTATAGAGTGAAAGAATTTTCTCATCTCTCTTCGAGTTTCTCCCTGAATATAAAATACCCCCCATCTGATGTGTGTTACCTTTCTAACTTAAACACTGAAATAAGGAAGGTGGCAAAATGAGATAATTCCAAGATACCATAAAAAAATTCTATGTTAGAGTAAATCTTTACTTCACTAAAATTTTGATGTATTTTTTTTTTAGGTGAGAAATAAACCAAATATGTAATTATTTGAATTTGTTAATCTTTTGGTGGTTATGGGACATAGATTTTTACATAAAAAGGGAATGTTTTATATCTTATTACTGTCATAAAAATAGTCTATGTCTCAAACCTATTTAATTTCAGATTAAATTTATGTGAAAAATGAGAACACCAGCTTTAATATCAGATGCACTACAATACCTACATGTAATGCCAACCTCCCTTTACATGAAAAGAAATGATTTCAAATATTTTCTGAATTTTTTCCATACCTAACTCCAAAGAGAAATATATTTTCTGAACCATTTCTTCTATTTGATTAAGCTTTAAAGAAACAAAGAATCTTTGATACCAAGAGGTACCTATCTATTATTCCTGTAGACTCCATGACAAAAACTCTTAATGAATAAGGGATACAAAGTGATCTATGAGAACATCACTTCAGCACTGTAACTTCCCTAGGTGCCCTTGAGAATAAAAAAAAACCCCAACAAATTCCATAAAAAATTTAAAACCTAGTCCCACAGCTTCATTAAAACAAACAAGCCTACTACATGTTTACATATCTATCTTCAACAAAAGTACAAATCAATTTTATTGCATAAAATGCCTGTCTATAAAGAATTAAAAAGGATTGACATAATTCTCCTATTTATCAATTATACAATTGACCCCCAACAGTCATCTTCCCCCCTGGCTCAGTGGTACTGGTGGTTTCACAACATGAGTGTTCAAATCAAAGTGCATTCACTTATCTTTACAAAAAGTTTCTATAAGATTTTTGGTGTGAATGTATAAAAATCATTTCACCAAATCTTCCAGATAATAAAGTTTTTAAAAAATCTATCAAAAAGACCCCACAAGAGGGCTGTATTTTTCAAAGCTAGTACCCTTTTATCAATATGAGAACCTTGACCTTGCATTGTTTACCTCCAGTTAAGCATAAGACAGTCAAAACCACATCAAATCTAGACAAATTTGATTGCTGTAGTTAGATACCTCCATAATGTAATTCTCTTGTCAAAACTTTTAATATCTGCTGGATTAACACGTTTCAGATAACATCAGATAAATTCCAATTACAAGAGAACATCTTGAATGTCTATAGAATCAAATGAATATGAAATCAAGACTCTATACAAGTTATCGTTGTCCATAAAAATGTTTTCCTTAATTTCGAATAAAAGGAGATGCCATATTAAAACGCCTTAAATCGTCAAGCCATATTAAGAAAAATGTTCAAAGTGTAAAACAGCCCATTTAACATATTGTGTACATTAGATTTGAGGGAGAACAGAGTTTACTAAAGTCCAATTGAAGAGATCATTGAAGCAATCTACATACATTAAATGGCAATCAAAACACCATTTCTTGCAAGGATAAACTCTGGTAGAAAAGATGTTCTTTGAAATGCAATTCATTCATTTAATTCATTCATATCATTCATACACTGACTCATGTTTGCAGGTCAATAAAGAGAAGCAGGAGTAGGAAAATATATTTATATAACCCTAGATTGTCCAATTGCTAGTAATCAGTTAACCTGCCTTTTTTCCTATTCAAGTACTTAATTACTTAACCAAAATATGACTAATTTGTTTTTTTAACCTAATTAAGCATTTTGTTTTTTGTATGATGTATTAAAGATGCACTTCTTATTTCTATATATGCTGTTAACATATGTATGTGTGGAATATTCACATACATGTTATGTATTACTGTGAATATTGACTTTCCAATGTAGGAGTTTCACACAGAAAAAGAGAAAAAAAATCTTTTAGAATAAAAAAAATTACTATCATTAATACAAGATGGGTCAAAAAAAAAATCTCAACATCAATGACAATATATAGTCAAGAATCTCTGTAGCCTATTAAATTAGATATCAATTAACTGCTCATTTTTTAAAATTAAGTTTGTGGATCATTTCTTGTTAAGAATTTTTATCATTTGTCAGGACACACAAGCAGAATATTTATTTATCTGAAAGAAGTGTTTAGTATTGAATTTCAATTCTTATGTTCTTTCTATTTTTATAAGATCAATTTTTTTTTAATAAAAAAAAAAACAAGTGACCTTGAACACTGATACATGTATCTCAAATGCCAGGGATGGTCTAAGATATGTTGAGGTGGTTTGGCAGTCTCCACCACTTTTTATGTTTATAAACGTTATTTTGAATCCTATAATATCTCTAAGTTTAATCTTGGTCCCACTAAGTTTGAGATGAAGATTTGATTGTTTTGTAATCAAAACAGATCATAGCCCAAAATAGAGAAAACAAACGATGAAATTCATTTTCCCCCGGATCATCTCTTGGACAATAATTGTTCTCAAGGAATAATCTCTATATATTTCTGAGTACTTAAACATATTATCGTTAATATTTTCAAAAGCCCATGCAAACTGTATTAAGATAACTTTTTTACATCTTCGTGCATATCAATAAAAAATATGTACATATATAATCTTTTATCTCTGGAAAAATATCTCAAAATCCCCTTATTTCTCATATGATATATCTGTTATTTCCTTCTTCTGGGTGTGACCGAACTCAACACTATGATTAGAGAGATGTAAATCAAAGCTTTAATCACATAATCACACAAAATTAATGTGTTTTAAATACCATCCAAATCTCTTCTACAGATTATCTGCCCAAAAATTAAAAGTTATGATGAAAGATATATTTGCCTCTGGTTAGATCTTCTACAGAAATTAGCCATCTATTTCATTTTTAGTTCCTTGTTCTCATGCAGTAAAAATTTTTATGAAGCATCAAATCTTCAAGTTCTTTTAAAAAATTCAAAGATGTCACAGTAATTTCCCTTAACATTAATAATTCCTGCCTTTTAGCATACTTTTTTCCCAGAGTTCATCCTTCTCAGCAGGAACAGGAAGTTCCAAAGAACTAGATGATAGAATAATCTTAGTTCTGACAGTTACTCCCCCTTACTCCCACACACGCCCCAGGAAATAGATATCAACTGTACTCAATATTCTGTGCCTATATCTAGACAACTGCAGGTATGAATCTTGTTGAAAAACTTTTGTTTTATATCAAATGATAAAAAGAATCATCCCATTGAAAGAAATATTTAGTTTATCTGCACAGAAAGATTTCAAGCACTTTTATAATACAAACATCTTTTGTTCATAAAAGAGTGCCTTATACTACATCATGTACACATTATTACTGTCCACAACTTTCTCTTTAATATGACTTAACATGTGCATATAAGCTTCTGCAAAATAAATTGGACTTGCAGAGCAATGGTTTATCTTATATTGCTTAGTTGCATTTTGAGTAATTTACAGCATTTGACCTCTTTAGTCACTTTATACTAAGTTAAGCTTTGACGTATTTTATTTAATTGAATTCTGAACAACTACTCTGACTTTCTTTTTAAATATAGTTCAGTTACTTGAGTTGACTTTTGACATCCTTTACTGGAAATGAGCTCTGAGAGACTTTACTGTAGTCGAGTTTTGACTAACTAAAGCTGAGATCAGCCGAGTGCTGAGATACTTTAGCACAATTCTTGCTTGTTTGACTATTGAGTCTGACATTTATAAACTGAGTTTTGTTTTGACGAGTTTGTTTGACTGCTGAGTCTGATATTTTGAAACTGTAGTTGAGCTTTGACTTACTTTACTTAGTTGAGCTGTGAGATACTTTAGAAAAATTCTGACTTGTTTGACTGACCCTGACATTTATAAGCTTTAGTTGAGTTTTGACTTACTTTACTATAGTTGAGCTTGGTGAGATGATTCCTGATATTTAATTTAACTGTAATTGTTTGCAGACTTCCTTACAGTACTCTGCTGGTCATCATATCCCTAAAATTGCAAAAAAAAGAAGGAATTTAAGTATAACTTCATCCATCATATACATTCACTTCTACAACTTAGAATATAAGAAAAGGTACAGCAACAATCCAGGGTTCAACATTAACGTTAGTCCGTTAGTCTCAGACTAATACATTTTCATTCGGACTAATAAAAATTGTCCAAACGGACTAATAAAGTTTTCAAAAAAAAAATAAATTTAAAGTTTTTACAAATTTTATCAACTTTCACTGGAAAACCCCGTATTTATTTTTAGCTTTCTAGCTTCTTAGCGGTAAGTTAGGTAATTCTGAGTCAATTCAGCGGTATGAAATTAAACATTTTAGCGATCATGATTTAGTATGACACATAAAGAAAGAAGACTTTCAATGAATTATGTAATCATGTATAGAGAAAAACAAATGAGATCGTGAATACGATCGTAGTTCCTGACTGTGCGATTTAAACAAATTCTTGGTATAAACATTTCATGTAAATGCTTTGTTTATATATTTCAAAAAAGTACATTGCAACATTAATTCTATTTATTTATTTTTATTTTTGGGTTTAAAATGGTAATGTTTTTATGTCACATTATAGCTGACATAATTTCTGCGTGTTTTATAAAAATGTTTGCGAACCCTACAATCTAACAATCAAAGAACCAAATACTTGTAAACAAGGTGTAATAACAAAATCTAAATGACCAACTTTCAGTGGAGAACATGTATCTCAGTAAATAAGAGATTAAATATCTGTGCAAAACCTAACAATTTTGTGTATCATCTTGACGTTATATTTTGCTGTTACTGTACATGTACATGTATGTAATAAGGTATGAAATGTCACTTCACTTCTAGACAATCTAGATCCCTAACACTGGTTTCTTACCCTTAATAATCCAGGAATGATTTCTCCCATTTGTGCTTCTAATGTGTCTTTGGGTAATAGCTCTAGAACCTGAAATTAAAAAAAATGAAAATGTAACAGGCTATATTAAAATAAACTTTTAATAATTCTGTTCTGCATGTTATCTTGATGCTTAGAATAGAACAAATTCTCTGTATGCAACAAAATAGAAATTGACATTTTTGAGATAAATTAAGAAAAATATGTTGCATTTACAGCTCAGAATTATTGCACCAAGAAATGGAAGTCATTTACAATGACAAGTTACACAATAATGCTGAAAAGTTTTAACCTTGGCACACTTTCAGCCATAACTCATTCAAATGTTTACATTACACAGTAACACCACCTAGTGTTAAATCTGATAATGTTCACGTAATAATAGCTAAAAATATTTCCATCAAAGTGTACCCTAAAGTGCATATGAAGTTAATTTATCAATATCTTGAATGCCAGTATGTCAAATTAAGTTCACAGTTCCCAAATACAATTTCAACTTTGCTATCTTGTATACAATAAATCATTTCAATCTTTTTTAATCAGTCACACTGGTTTCAGATCATGAGTTTTAGCTACATATTGCTCTATTTAGTAGCATACCTTGTTTTGCATTTTAATGGCTGCTAAGTTGACTGGGTAGTTTGCAGTATCAATGATTGGATTCAGTATGCGGACACAGGTTTCCGGGGGTAGGTAATTAGCCAGTGTGTCAGCGCATTCCTCTGCGGACCGCACCACTTCTCGCTCTGAATCCTTGTGAGCCTCTAAGATCCGGAGAATTGTTAGCTCCGTGTAATCTTTGAATCGACTAGGTTGATTTTTAAGAATTTCTCTAAGTACCCGTAATGCTAATGCCCTAATATGGCCCTGAAAAAGAAAACATAGACATACAAAATTTAGTTTCTGACTTTAAGAATTCAATTTGTGGAATGGCTGTATGTAAGACTCTAACACTGCTTTATTTGTAAAGATTTTATATATTCATGATTGCCTTTGATTATACAAATATCACTTGAATTCCATTTTAAGCATGTTCTTTGTAAAAAGAATCATCATAAGAGAAAATTTCCATTTTATAAGACAGAATTTTATAGGGCCATTTCTCATCCATTTAGCTATAAAATATCTGTATCAATGGTCTGATTGTTCATACAAGTTACATTTACAATTACATTTTAATAACAAGAAGTTTCCTTACATTGGAGTCCCCTAAGGTTTCCAGTAAAACAAACAGAATGGTTTTGAAGTGTTCATCCCAGAAATTGAATGTCCCCTCCCTCGTCATTTTTATCAAGGACAGCATGGCGTCCTTTCGTTCATTATTCCTGAAAAATAAAAGTCAAATTTTAAAGAAATAACATAAATGTCTTTGTGAACAGTAAAATATAAGAGTAAATCATATTTTGAGCTTAAGCATCGATCAAAATTTTATTTTTTATAATCTACAAATCCTTATTTTAATATTGAGATTACCTTTTATTGTGATTTGATAACTCTGTTAAAATTCCTGTGATGACATCACTCTCTGTGGACTCTGAAAGGATAATAAAACATTAATTAAATCTTAGGATAAACAGTAAATATTTATTAATTTGAGAAATGATGATAATTGAGAATACAGGACAAACTAAAGATCATGAAGACAGAATACATGAAGAAAATGAAATAAATTAAACTCAGCATAAATGAGATTTTTATGATTAAATTTGGGAAAGTTTGAGTCATTGATTAAGTTTTCAAAATAAACGTGATGAAGTCTGACATGCAAAAACACATGCTTTTTGTACAAAAAAGAATGCAATGTACATATACTTCTAACCATAAAATGTCCATCTGATTTCAAATTCTTTTCAATAAGATAAATAAATAAACAAATAAATAATGATACAAATAAATTAACTCCTTCTTAGTAATAAATATTTACAAGTGCAAGGATATGAACACAGGTGTACATAACAATAAATAAAAAAATAAACAAAATCCACCTGACAAAAGCATGCTTATAAATTATTCAACTGTTAGTGTTGCAATATGGAAGTAAATGAGAAAATGGTATTGGATGAAGTCAAAATGACATCTATACAGAGGGCAAACTCTTGTCTTAAAAGTGCATAACACATGGAACAATATCTATAACAATCATTTCTATACTGTTTCAAGCTCTAGAATAATTCATTAATCTCCATTCCGTTACACGATACAAACACTGGATAGAGGGACCTATATTGCTCAAGTTAGCTATTAACAAGTCAGTGAAAAATGACAAGAAGTCACAAGAAAAAATTAAAACAGATAAAATCTGGTTTTCCACCATGACCTACCATCATGCTCAGTGCATGAGATTCCTAAAATGGCTTTCCAGGGATCTACAGGAAAACAAAGGTTTCTCCTTTTCAAAACATTTTCTATATTTTTTATATTACTTTAGGAACTAAATATGACAATGAAGGTGTAAAATGTCTTTCCTGATATGATGAATGAAAAAATGAAATGAAATGAAGTTAAGCAGATGAATACTACAATATAAGTTTTATTAAATTTTACGAAATTTCAAATATAAGCATGTAGATAAACAATATAGAAAAATATCTTGAATGATGTTCAACAGTTCATGTATCAAATATATTGCTTTTAGTTTGGACTAAATGAGTAGAACTCAAAAGTATGCCTCAATTCATTGAGAAACATATTCTACAAGAAACATTTGAAAAACTTTTTCCTGAAAAAAAATGATAGAAACACAGCAATAAAAACCAAATGAAAGTGTGTATAGTGTTTTATAAAGCAGAGATACTTGTATAAATCTTATAGTGGCAGGACATAGAGTAGCAGTACTTTAAAGGTCAAAGTGCAAGGCTTGCGGTTTTTAGGGAGAGCCACCTTAAATATTTGCCAGGCTATGACTGTGACACTAAGTGTGATATATGGTTTATATAATAATCTAATTTTTCCAGGAAATTGCAACTACAATCATCCAAATAGCATTGGCCATTGGCCACCATTACTGCTGTGAGATTTCTACATCAAATGACAATGACACTTTCACCCATTGTGGCTATATCATTTCACCTTTAGATATACTTTGACCAATTTACTTTCGAACATTTATTTTCTTCAAGTAAAATATTCCAATTGTCTACTTATGTATTAGTTGATACACAAATGTAAAATTAAATGTCAGCTAAATTAATTGATTTTGCAGTATTTTGAATAGAAGTAGATAGTATGTTGTAAATGTATGAACACAGATATAAATAGGAATACATTGCTACAGAATACAGTGGCCTGTACAACTAACCTGGGAGTACTATTGAGTTTATCAGGTCTGAAAATTTTATAAAACTTCTATCAACCCAAAACTTACAAAGCTTTTCTAAATTTTAAAACATAGGTAATCAAATAGCTCACCTCAAAATGTTGTCTTTTAAGGAAAGTCACACAATTAACCAACAAAAATATTCCAAAAATGAAAATATTTAAGCAATTTTAATCTGATACTTTGAAATAGACCTACATAAAAAATTTTTTTTTTTGAAAATGTAATCAAAATCCAGCATCTGAAGCAAATTTGAGATTTTTCATCTCTTGATGCAACATTTGTGCAAGTTTGGTTTATACAATGTTATATAAGCCTTATATTTTTAACTTTTGGGTCTATTATTCATGTCAAATTCAGCATCCAGCAAGTCCATTAGTGTGCATAGATAGCAGTTTTCATTAAAGAACTCATAGTTACTTGGAAATGTGTTTATCATACAAAATGGTAGTTTTAAGTTTTATGTATTCATGCAAAACATAGGGCTTACAGTTACTTGGAAAGAAACCTACAGATTTGTTTCAGAAAATTATTCATCAGTATACATGTATGTAGGTGCTATTGTTTTGACCTGATCATAATAGGAAATGGCAAGCTGGAAGTGAAGTGTTTTGTGTGAAAAATGATTGACTATACATAGTAATGCTTACCTTCATTAAACAATTCACTATCATCTAATTCAGCGAAGCAAGCCCAAGGCGATGTACCATCCTGCAAGTTTGTCAACCTTATATTCTTGGAATTGCACTGCAAAAAACAAAAATGTTAACCTGCTCCAAAAACAAAACATTGAAAACTGGTACAAGAAACACACTCTCTTGTGTCTAATCAATATAGGACATAGAATACTTAAAAAGAAAACTGCTCCAAAAAATAACGTGTAGCTAGCAAAAACTTCGTTATGAGCTAAAAATTGTAATAAAACAAAATGTCATGCTTTAATATATATATTTTTTTGTTTTTCATGCTGCAAAGCTATACAAAATAGCATTTCTTATACTGTGTTTATATATAAAGTAGTATTTTTAAAGTTTTTTTTTTTCAAAAATCATGCAACAGATTTGTTTCATTATTCATCAGTATACATGTACAGTGTATGTATGTGCTATTGTTCTGTCATAATCATAATAGGCAATGGCAAGTTGGAAGTGAAAGTGTTCGTTTTTTGTGAAAAATTGTTTATGATACATAGAAATGCTTACCTTCGTTAAACAATTCACTGTCATCTAATTCAGCATCGGCAAGGCGTGACCTATTGTAGCCATTCATTGCCTGCAAAACAAAGGACAGCAAAACTGAAACAAGCTCTCATGTGTCTAAATACTAGTCAATTCATAAAATCCAATTCAGAAAATTAATCACAATTCCATGTTAATTAGCAAAACTTTAACAACAAACAGATTATAAGGAAACAATCATGTCTTTTACTTGATTTTACATTTGAACATGATCATTCCTTTATCATCACTTAACACAATGAAAACATCTATGGAAGATACTTATAAACCCCCAAATATGAAATCCATGGATTAGCTTTGCATGAGTGTTATCTATTAAACCATCAACAAGATTTTTGTCTGTTTTCCTATAATCTTACCTCGTCAGAGTATTGTGAGGGGTTGTAGTTCCCTTTCCTGGTGTCCACGGCGTCGGGACTGTCGTTCCGTAAATCCTGTATCCCACTGTCCTGGGACGTGAACTCCCGTTTCTTTTTCACGGGATCGTAATTCTCCAGCTTACTGTGAAAGCTCAGGTTCTGAATGTCGGCTGTCGTCTGCTTGATGGAGTTATAAATGTCTTCTGGGTTCATGTTCTCCGTCTCTGTTTCATCATGGTGGCCCCTGTGAAGACATCAGTAAAACTGTGAAGTCTGAAATCTTCTAGCAATGTCTCCAATATATTATATATAGTGTAAATGTCAATGTAACAATTCAGACAGAGTGGGATAGATGTGTATCAAATACTAGTAACTTGCTTGGATCTTGATTCCAAACATCAAATTCTGAGAAATTGTAACCTTCATGTACATTTTCACAACTACTATGTATGTAATGACTCTCCAACCCCAATCACAACTACATCTTAATGTATTTCCTCTTGATTTCATATAAATTTCTACCTCTTTGATGAGACTCTATGGTACCACTTAAAGCGATACTGAGAAGTGTAAAAGAAAAGTATGAAATCTACCTAGATGGTGGGCGACTCCTGTTCTGTTGGGGGGTGACATTTTTGGGGGACAGTACTTCGCTATCGCGGCTGTCTCGGCTAGCACTCCTGACGTGTGTCTGTAAGATCTTAGTGGCACTATCCTGGAATGGCTTAGGAAGATTTGTCAACATCATGGACAGCTCTGGGGCATTCAGATTAAACAAGTCTATCAGCACTAACTGAGCAGCCTGAAATTAAATACCATCATGAGATCACGTAAAACATCAGGAAGCATTTGAGCACGAGGCTTTCTCACTCTCTTTAAAACATCTCTTACACAGTGAAACTTGTCTAATTCAAATGGTTTTTTTTTTTAAACAATCTAATCAATTAAATTCAATTGTAAGAAATGTTTTCTATATCAGCAAATTTCTTAGGTGTCTAATAAAGATAAATTTCATTGTTATGGATTTTTGTTGAATACACAGATAAAATTGGTATTTTAACTTCAATACATATTCAAATTCAACGACTAGTGGATTGTCAAACTCTGGATACCCAAAGTTATATATTTACAATAATTTTTTGAAACTAAATTTTGAGTAAAACAAAACCTACCTTCCTGACTTCCACACTTTTGGGTTCCGTGGTAAAGTTGATGATACGTGATAGAACCAGGCGAGTGTCGGCGGAATTAACAAAGTCTGTGTCGTTCATCATTAACACTAGATTATGCATGTAGTTCAATAGGGAAGCCTTCACCTGAAAAAGGGAGATAATATTTGAATCTTGATCAACATCAACATCTTTGTACGTTTATAATACACTGTACATAATGGCGATGAGCAAAAATGCAAACAAATATCATGAATATACTAGAAGAAACATATACTGTATGTATATTCTTATGTTATGACAATCAAGAAACCAAAAATCTAGCCTAGTCAATATTTTCAAAATAATAACAAATAATTGGGCAGCCATAAGGCAAACTCAAGAATGACAATGTACTATGATAATAGAAAAATTTTAATTTTCTAGAGAATGATTTGTTTTCTCAAAATGCAGAAATAATGCTAGTCAGTATGTACATATTAAAGGCATATGTGAAGCAATTTGCAAGACAAGGTGCAATTAACAAAGGCAAAGGGCAAGCAGTGAAAATTACATTTACAATATTAAAGTAGGACATATTGAAAAAAATAAACAATATTAGCCTTTCTTTTAAAAAAAAAATTGAAGTTGAATTTATTACATTATATTTTCAAGAACTTTAGGACAACAATAATAAATTCATTTATTAGATATAACTTTAATAAAACACTGAAGCACCTCAACATAGATATTTTACTTTTTTTTCATGCAAATAAACCAAGACCCACTGACAAAATGAAGTATCTCAATATTATCATGATTATCAGAAAAAAAAAATATTAGTAACTTTTTTTCCATGTACCAATCATGCAAGCTCAGTTAGAATTGCTTTCACCACTGAAAGACTTTTTCAAGATATTCTAATGAAAATACTGTACAACTAAAAGAGTGCTTTCTATCAAATTTATCTGTCAAAAGTACTTTAACTTTAGGCCTACTATAAAACTGATGTTTCTTTGTGCATGTATTTGAGCAAATCGCTGCACAAATTCATTTTTTTTCTATAAAAAAGTTTCCACAATATCAAATGAAGACATAGTAAAGGAGTCAAACTAGTTTTAAATTTCACTAGTCCTTTAAGCACACTGGGACTTAACATGTAGACAAGAAGGAAATAAAAATTAAAAGTTACCTTGGGCTAAGTTGGCAAAAAATTAATGAAAGAGAAAAATTAATCAAAACAAGATTCTTCCAATACTGAAAGAAAAGTTTTCACATTCAACTTTCATTCCAACATTCTCCAAGCAAACAAAGAGTATATATCACATCTAAAATAATGCACAGTTAATGCAGAATTTTCTTTTTTATATAAATACATTTTAGTATAATATATTCAATACTAGTTTAAGTTGAACATTATTAATGTGGTATTAATAAGTATATTATGCATATAAAAAGTTAAGAATGATAATGATGCATTAATGATGCATGTATTACATGAAAATATATGACATAAGAGTTAATACTGTCTACAGAAATTAAACATCTGTACATACCTTAAGACTTGCTGATTGGGTCTGATCTATGATATACTTTGACAGAGCATTAAACTGTTGTTCTGCAGGAAAGTTCTCTCTGAAAATAAAAAATATGCATTCTGGGTTAATATAATTCTGAAAACATTTCAATGTACTTTTACAGTTTGCCTCTGAATATACAAGATAACTAAAACAGTTGAGAACTTTATTCTCTAGAACACTATGTCAAATACCATGGATATTTTGAAGTATTTTTAAGTCTTAACAACTTATTCTTTCTGTATTTACCCTGGTATCTTGAACACTCGGATATCTCCAAGTTTTTCTGATCTTATCAAAGTTGAGGTAACAACGTTAGACTGGAATATATTTAATTCATAATTTTATTTGTATAAAAGGGAGCTCAAGTTGAAAAGGTACATATACCTTGGGAATTAACCTTTATATCTCAGCCAATCAAAACACTCCTGTGACTAACCTGATGGCATCCAGCGCCCTCTGTACTCGGTTCTGGACTGAGCCCAACATGTCCGTACCAGATTTGTTCAGTAATCGAGTTAAAAATGGAAACATTTGATTGGTCAAGTCTTGGCTGTGAACTTGAACTAATTCAACTAATGTATCTAAAAATAAACTTAAAACCTGCAAAGAAAACCAAAAAAAATTCATTTAAACTGTTTTACTTTCATATTTCATATTGTTCAAAATTTTAAATTTTACAATAAATCAGGTGCTAAACAATGCTGAAGGGAAAATTTGCTTTCTTATATTTTTTCCCGTTTACTCTGATCTTAAGTGGGTGAGTTTTGAATGAGATGAATTTAAGAGAAATAGTAAATATTGTATAAAATCAAATAACTTACTTTGCTCTGCGGATCATGAAACATTCTATTAAAAACTTCACATACTTTCTGCAATTCTACACGACTGAAAAAAAAGAGAAGAAATTTTTTTTTACAGAAACCTGCAGAATTCTATCACTCAACAAGTTGTGTTCAAGATCAGAAACTTTGATACAAAATTCATTTTAGCATCTTAAGCAATCATTTCACTGCTGAATCCTATCTTCAAAATCAAAACAACTGACAGCTCAAGCATATAAAATTTTACTCAATTCCAATAAAGATTTTGTCTAATTCAGTTACTTTACATGTAAGTGGCAGCATCATAAGAATTCTGCTACTTTACATTGGCTGGTTTGAAATGGTTACCTTAAAAACCGTCCACTCCTAAGGAGATTTTGTAATGCTATAAGTCCCTCTTTACGATCACCATGGGAACCACTACCTAGCAGGGCAATTATTTCTGTCGTATCCTAAAAAACAAAGAAACAGACTTACAAAATGGAAAATCTTGTGTTCATAATGAATTTGTACTTTATAAATCATTTGATTTTCTAAAATTTCAGTTGTTATTATTCACAGAGTATGATCAATTATCTAAAACTTATTTCATCATTGTTCAAATTTATTTTATTCCTCTTATCAATTTGTGTAACATTTGGAAAAAAAATTACTTTATGAATATAAAGTGATATTAATATGGCTGAACTTGAATGGAAAATGTTTCTGATACAAGTACGTCTCATGCAAAATAAGATAATCAAAGCATTTATCATGTTTATTATTCTCCAGAACTGTTAAAAAACGAAGAAAACTATTATTGTGCAAAAAAAATAAAAAAAATACGACAAACATACAATACGTCCAACAAGAAATGCACACAATTCAAATGAATTTCTAGCTGTGACCACAAATTTCATAAAAAATAAAAATCTGGAATGATAATTTTTTCCAGATCATATTACACAACTCTTATTCTATTAATATTTTAAAGTATTTTACAGCTCATATAACAGGGAAAAAACTCCTTTTTTTAAATCTTTAAAAATCTGAATTTAAACAAAAATAATTTAAAGCAAAATATCACATTCAAAAAGCTTAACACTGAAAGTTTGCCAAAGAATTTAAATTAATTAAGAAGCTGCCAAAAAATTTAATTCAAGAAGCTGAAATAAAACAGCTTTATAAAAGAGGAAGTGTTACCTTGGCAACCTTAGCACTCTCCAAAACAGGAGGTGAACAAATCGAGTCCTTACTCGTAGACTAACCAAAAAATCATAATCATTCATTATAATTATCAAAATTCATGCAAACCAAACTGCTCCTAACTGTGTATTACGGGAAACTTGTTTTTGCACAGAGGGAGAAAAAAAAGACACCAACATATGTGCAATTATCATATCATTGACTTCAAAAAAAAAAAAATATATACAAAAATAATAACGAGGCCAAAGAAGAAAAAAAATAATTGTGCAAATACAACAAACATATATCAGCAGAACAACAAGCTTCTAAAATTTAGCTCTGAAACATCGTTTTTGCTGACATTGAAACAACATTTTACATGCTAAATCTTGACCTCTTATTATGTATGAAAATGCTTATTTTGAATGAAAATGCAAAATCAGATGAAAATAATACGAAAAAAATATAAAGGTATTATAGTTACTGTAAATAATATGTATACACTTAATAAGAATTCACAATGCAGTTTTTTCTGGAGAATACAAGAAAATCAAATCGAGCACTACAGCAGCATAAAATCAGTTCGATTGCCTAAGGTACATGATACCTGTGTTGGGGTTGGCAGACGATAATACCATTTATCAAAATCAGTTGACGAGGCCTTTAGCAGCAGAAGAAAAAAAGCCAATCAAAAGCCATATTTTCAACAAATCCAATGAAGTGAAATTAAAATGTAAAAACTGACCGACACACAAATGCAACCAAAAATTTGACTGAAAAACTAAAAGGAACTTGAGGACAAAACAAATGGACAAAAGAAATTCATGATGTTAGATTGAAAGTGCTGCAGTGAAGGTTTTTGTTTTTATAAAATTGAAGGTAGAAATTCCATGCTGTGGTATTTTAGAAGTGGATGGTTGGTGTAAAACATGCCTATAACCTGTCAGACTGGGGGGAAGATAACCCCTGAAAACCATGCTTAGGGAAAAAGTGAAAATTTTCAGCCTCCATACTCAGTTCTTATAAAATAGGTAAGAGGAGTAGATCTAGAGTAATTTTGTATGATAAGAAATTTTTTTATGTAAATTTTACCTGAGTTCTTATTTTTCTTTTGAACCGACTCTGTATAAAATACTTTTTGATTCACTAAATGTCAATCTTTCAGAGAGAGGAATATGTCCTTTTTAATACTAGGAAAATAATTCCTATGACTCCAAATGTTTCTTTGATGAAACTGTTCCCCCCTTCTCAAATCAGCAGTAACTCTCAAAGCATCCCAATTCCTTTTTCCCCAGCCTCGTCAATTTTACATACAGTATCTCCCAAAAGCAGATCCTTACTCTATTTGCCCCTGCCCCTTCTTTTGTGTTAATACATTATTTTACATGGTGTCCACCTTTAGTTAGGTTACTGCACACAGTCACACAAAAGTTAATAGTGTAAAACATATGATCTGATTTTCAACATGTGTGCCATGCCATCTTGAGTGCTAATACCTGACATCCCCATAAATAATACTGAAAAGGACCAGATGAGAATACATTGCTCAAAGAGAAACTGAACATTACATTCATGGCACTATAAGGGACATTTTTTAGCCCTGGTCTAAAACTCTAAATATTTTGACTCAGTGATCATGTAAGACAACAAAAAATGCAACAGCTGTGAAAAACTTAACAGAAATTGCTACAGAAATGATGGTTGCATGTCATCCATAAAAACATATTAAACAAAATTTCATTGCTATATATATACACTTTTTAACTTTGTTTCAATATTTCACTTTCACTTTTGAAAAAGAAATACATGACTTATAATAAGAGTAAAATTATCCAACTTGCAAACTTTCAAATTCAATGACTACTGACCTCTGACGTTTGACCTATTGACCTGTATGACCTCTCTGAGCAGACACTGGATGTTTCACTGGCTGCATCATCCGAGTCATACTCACAGCGCCGCCTACTGGGTCCTCTTGACTAGAGGAATAGAAATTGAGAAACAGAAGTGTATAAAATGCTGAAAGCTGTAAAAAAATATTTCATATCACAATTCAAAAACTTCTATTTCTTGCACCAAAATTTTTAATAATAAACCTTATAAAATTTATTTCATACATAACATACATTTGTATTATTCATTCAAGAACCAATCTTTCAACAATATATGTAGTTCATTTCAGAAATTAAATATTTTTCTTCTCCTTAATAAAAGAACAGAAAATACTACAAAATCAAATAATTTTTCTGAAATCATTAAACATTTTGCTCAGTATATAAAACATTTAACTCTAGATTCATTAAGTTCTGAAGTCAGCGATTTACCAGTGCGTCTGACAAGGCATCCTCTACATCAGAACCTATCCGGAGGGTGCGCTGGGCCATCACCCCTGCTCTCTTCTTGGAAGCAGAATGGGGCAGGGTCTTCCCTCCGCTGGGTCTTCTTTCCCTCCCTATAACATTGACCAAATAGTCAGATTCTGAAACAACTTAAATGTATCTTGCTTTATATATTCATGGCTAACAAGGAATTACAACCTAGATCATATTGCAAAATTGCAATGGAGGTGGGATTCAAATTATGCTCATCTCTTGCTACAAAGACTATGCTCATCTCTTGCTACAAAGACTATTTACAATATTGTTATCGATTTTATCCTATAACCATTTTCTTCTGACTACCTGAATTCAGCTTAAAAACATATGTACCTGGCTGCATATGAAGGCGATTTGGACTACCCTCTCTGCTGGCCCCTTGACTTCGTGTGACCCCTGACCTTCTCTGTGACCTTGGGGTCATGGGATCTTTCTGGCTGTGCGTTAAATAACTAATTCTTGAAGTTGGTGAGTTTGACCTACTATTGGCTGCAAAGAAAAAACAAAGTCATGTGAAATAACTTTTCTTATTGTTAAGGCCTTTATCTGTTGCTCAGTGACCTGTAAATAAATACTCTTGGCACATAACTTTACAATTAAAATCATGCTGATAATTAAAACACAAAATAAAACACAAATAAGGATTGAAGATAAAGATGGTTGAACTATGGGAATATATCTCAGATAAGCATCAAGCTGTGATCTTTTAGCCAGAACACAATTTCATTAAAGCAAAGCTGACTTTTAAGCTCAGTAACAGTTATAGCACTTCTAACTGACATTAAGGCTCAAAACTTTCTCTATTGTTATGTATATGTTATAATGCATATCTGTCGCTGTTAATGGTTAATTGAATATTCTCTGTAGAAGGAATCGAAAGTTAGTATACATTATAGATTTATGTTCTGTCCATCAACATTGGAAAATGGGGGAGGGTATTCATATAAGGGAGATAACTCTTGTTGTGACAGTCATACTTACGCTGAGAGAGGGAGCTACCATTTTTGTTGCGAGGTCGACTATTACGGTCCAAGGTGCCAAGATTTTGATGAGTTGAGCTACTGCGATGTCGTGCTGAAAGTAACAAGCAAGTTGCACCACTATATGACACAGCCAGACAATAGAAAGAGGAAGGGAGAGGCAAAGTGGTCAGCCATGTTCCCTTTGGTACAAATGTACTAAACAACAGATGTCAACTAAAGCAATGGAATATGATTGATTCGTTTTATCATACTTAAAAAGAAAACTGATATATTTCTTTATTCATATTGTCATGCTAAAAAGAAGATATAAATTTGAAAAGTTTTCTTACATGCCTATACATGTAATAATTGCTTGGCATCATACCAAATGCACTTTTATTACAAATACATTATTTTATAAATATTACAAATACATTTCTAGATATCTTAAATGTTAAATTATGAAAGTGTTTTGTTCATGAAATCTGCCATATAATGTAAAGAATGAAGCATCCATCTTATACAGGATTTCACCATGAATTTCAACATTATGAATGTATAACGTACACACACCAAGCATTCAGATAACATAAGACAATGTTAGTTCATGCTCTGGTTACATGTAAGAAAATGGTTAACAAAGCCAAGCGGACTTTGTAGACAAAACAAAATACAGGGCATTTCTTCACAAAATACGGTATACTTTCAAGTACACAATCTGAAATCTTTTTCACCATTTTTATGTATCTTAAAGCATCCAACTGACAATGGCCAACAGACATTGTATAAAATGACCTTCGTGACCTTTAACCTTAGACCTTCTACTGCCCTCAAGTAAACAAGTTGGCTGTCTTAACATGTAAATAAATAAGGTTGTGAATCATCCCCCTAACACACAATGGATATGAATGATGATGATGATGTGATGTTTGTCCCCACAATGTCCCAAAGCAAGTAAACCTTCATAGCACCTCAACTGTTAACACATCAAAGATTAATTGTGCTAGAGTTCAGATAAACTGTCAGAGAGAAATCCATGTACTCTGTATAATATCAGACTTTAGCGAAAAGTATAAAATGTATCAAAATCCAACCAAAAAAAACCATTTCTAACCATCCTTCCAAAAGACACATCAGAATTGACCAAATTACTTGCGACATTCAATTGATCAAATTACCAGGGGCAGGTTCCACGAAATCTTCCACCTCTTCATCTTCTCCAGAAAAGAACCCCTCTTCTTCTTCCTCCTCCTCCCAAGCGCATTCTCGTGGAGGGATTTCTACCACATAAGGAAACACAGCAAATCGGACATGTTTTTTATGATCACAGGATCCCATATTGTTCACATTTTTATGACCATATTATCCTCTCTTCACTGTGTTCTAAGGTACCTTGTATTTCCAACACAATTCAATTCCATTTTCTGTGTATGCAATATCTCAGCATGTTCAGACAAAGTCTATGCTTATATAAGTCGTCATACTCGTGTCTACTACATATCCATATTGCTTGCACCACATCAAAAAAACCACAATAGAATAAATAAGATTATTTCCTTTTAATAACTTAAGTTCATCCTACACCGCACAATTTCATTCTATCCCCTTTCCAATGCGGTGACTCAATCCAAAGCTTCTCCAAGAAAACACAAATCCCGGCACAAGCTTGTCCAGCCTTGCACACTCATTCCCCATGCCTGCAGGATTTCACCAGGGACAGGGAATTCCTTAATCCGTCCCAGTCGTGTTCACTTAGTGTTTTCTCTAGATCACAGGACACTGACTCCAAGATTTAATCCCCGCTAATCTCTTTAATCTCCGACAATACACAAAGCTCTGCCTGGATCGGGAGCACTGGTTTCACTACCTGTGTTATCTTGTCCACACAAATGACCTTGTTCCGGACATGTCAATTTCACAGCAGGTCAGTTTAGTAGAATACACCTTTTGAAGTAAAAATGCTTAAACTATTTTTTTTTCAACTTTATATCTTCTCCAAAGGTATTTCCAACAAAAGTGAACTTCTTATTTTTGTAATATACTTCTTCTTCACAATAGAAAACAAAAATATTTCCAACATCCAGGACTCGGTGACAGGTTTTACTGTGGGTCCACTGCTAAATTGACATTTATGTCCAATTCACACTTCTTTTTCTCCAACACACAATATGCAACAGGACCATATAGACACACAACTGAACTGCTAGACCAGAACTTATTTATGTGTTGACCCACGACAGGACCTCTTCCTTTTTTCTTCTGATTAGTGTTCAGCAATATTGACTAAGCTTTTAATCTGCTTATATAGCTTTTGCCTCATAATGACTTCTCCCATTGAATTTTTGTTTTTGAAATAACTGCATATATATGTCATACAAGTACTAGGGTAAGTACATAAAGTTCCATTAACATTAGCAAATACCAATTTCAATTAGCGAAATGAAATATATTGGACTTGAGTAAATATTAATTTTTAATTTTACATTCAAGTAAATAAAACTACACTTTTCAGCAGAGTTCAATTGATTTTTTAATTGTTTGATCCTGTTTACATATACTTTTATGCCTATTATATACATGATCTTTTTTATGAACAGCAATCTGATTATGAAGAAAAAGTTGATAAAGCTCTTAGCAAATGTGATGAATCATGTTCTTGTGTCATTCCATTATTTCTACCATTTGATGATTAAAATATATTGCCTCTTAAAATGTTGATTTTGTAGTAAAAAGGAACATGAAATAATCAGAGACTCTCCTTGAACATGTTTAAAGACCTGAAGCATTCAATTATACTTTCCCTTTTGAGTACATGAAGAAAACTGTGCTGTTTAACACTACAAAAGTGTGCTATGGAAACTGACCTATGATACATGTAAGTGATGTTGACAGTGTACAAAATTAACCCTGAATGGATTTTTATTTCAACATGAGGAACCATGCAGGGCACCTGATGAGCTCTGAGAGGACTCAAACTTTACTCTCCATGCAGATCATAAAGTCCTTATCTCTTTCATTATTTCTCCTCTTTTTTTTCCCATCAGAAGCATGCATGATAGAATTACTCTCTTTTAAAAGCAGAAATGAGCTGAAATGATCCCACCCATGACATGCAGGTGACATAAGACACACCCCTTTTTGGAATGACTGACAGCCATGACACACCTATATAGCTAGAGACAGAACACACAGAGGTCTTACGCAATGAGTATGTGGCTCCTGGCGTCATTCGAGCAACGGCCGCCATTTGCGGCGACCGCCGTTTCTGGGCGGAGTAACTGGAATAGGAGGGGCTCGTCCCATTTGCCAGATCGACGGCACTACTAGAGCGGATAATGCGGTCTTTAACTGACCTACTTAAAGTTTTGTCTAAATCTGCAAGAGGTCATGAAAGCAACTCAGGAAACATTGACAATACTGACACAGATGAGAAATAAACTAAACTTATATATATATACATGTATAATAAAAGATATATGAACTACATGAATATTTACATTTACTTTGCATATTAATTATTAATCATGCAGAAGATTTACCCAATAACTATTCCAAATCTTAGTACCATTACATTACTGAATTCATTAAGTGATTATTTTTAGTGTGTGAAAATTTTCAACTTTTATTAATACAAAGTGATTAAACATCAAGCAAAATTTTTCTAGCATCGATAGATATTGATTCATTTTATACTGAAAGTTATTTTTTTTTCTATCTTTCTAAAAATATTTTTTCCGAAATCTCCTACAAATATTACTATGAATTACTTTTCTAAAATCATTAACATTCTATAAATAAAGAAATGAACAAAGGAAAAAAACTAAAAATTTACTTTTCCTTCTTTTTTTTATTTATTTATTATTTTTTTTTTTTGGCAATTTTGGTACCAAGACTTACAGCTAAGAGTACAATTTTTTTTTAAAATAAATATTTTACAACAGATACGTATATGTGCCTTTAGTTGTGTCAAGATAGTGCTTCTCTATTATGCATTATTTTATATACACACTCCTAAGTGCAGGTTACTGCCCCTTGACCATCTATTACTAAAACCCCACAACACTTCACACGTGACAAAGCAGCGCTTCTAGGTCACATGATACCCCATATGACAGGTCATGTGACTGTCTTACCTGCACCATGGTGACGTGCAGCACCATCAACATCCAAGTCTGGATGTGAGACAAAAATAAAAAAATCAAGTCATGCCAAAAATAAAGTGTTCACAACATTCAGTGGGAGAAAAGATTGCTATTTATTTCATTACATTTTTTCACCTCTTAAATTCTATTTTGGCTTTGCTTCTGAAGTATGAGTGTGTACGCAATTGAAGAAAGTTATGAATAATCCTCATTTATCATCAAAAAATGTAATGAAATTGAAAAAAAAAACCTAAAAATTGTTCAAGAAAATAATTAAATAACTAAAGATAAAACTGATAACCTCGTATCTATTTAGGCTTCAATGAAGTCCTGTGTATGATTAAAAATAAAAATGCCAGCTGTCTGAAAGAACTATACATGCAAAATTTCTTCAGAAGAAACACATCAGGCAGGGAAAATGAATAACATGCACTTTAACTTATGTTCTTACAATTATAACAGCAATATCTCGCTCAAAATAAAATACTCATATCCATTTTTTATGCTTTATTTTTCAATAAATTTTCACTATCCTTTAGTGTTTCAACATGTATTCCCAAAATAGTCTTTGCAAAAAAATCACAACATCAGTGACCATGACCTAAGTAGACAGTCATCATACCAACTTCGTCGACACATTCTACATCTAAAAAGGCATGCAGAGGGAAATTTACCTTTTGAAAATTTAAGAGAATGAGATCTAATTTCTGCAAGGTAACAAGTAAACCAGAATTATACCAAGTTCTTTTCAAAAATTTATTCCAGTGAAAATGCATGGATTTCAAAGGAATTTTCTTTCTACTATGGAAATATTTGGAGTTATTTCCCTTAGATCTTGACAAACAGTCAACCTACCTGCGCCTGTATCACTGCGAGCTGAGCTGAATTGAGAATGTTTCTTCTTTCCTATACGACTGAAAAATCAATACAAAAAAAAATATATCTTTAGCACAATATTGACAGATGTTTTCCATTTGAAATATGAAACAATCATGAAAATCATAATTATCAAAGGTAGGATTTTTCAAAAATTTTACAATTTTTATTTAAAGTAATATACGCTATAACGTGCGCCATTTTAAAATACGACTGGAAATTTATATATTTTGTTTACCAATAAAAGTTACGAAAATGCTGTAAATTACACCATTTAAATAAAATTCGTTATAAAGTTATCAAATTATAATTATTTATTATCCTGCAAGGAGAATAAATTTTTAAGTAAATCCACCAACGCCGTCGCTACTTTTAGATTGATTCAAGAAAACGAGGTAAGCCCTTTGAGATACAACTCACTTTTGACATGGATGGCGTGTTACTATAATGTAATTAATATAACTTATCTTTAAATGTAATCAGTATCAAAAATCTATACTCTGTTATGACGCATATTAACCTTTTATAAATAATCGTTGTCAAAATGAAACGTGCCTCGTTGTCTATAATTTCCCATGGACATACGTGTCTATATTTAGACCTACTGTTTACGCACTTCCTTTATCAATATTCATGAAAAGACTGAATTCTTGATTGCAGATATTGCTTTATTGTTCTGTTATTACAACGAGTTTTATAGTTAAATTTTGTGGAAATATTATTTTTTCATTACACTTTATGTGTTTCAAATCATTTAATCATTTTGTTTCACATACAAATCGGCATCCATACGGAGTATATTACTTTAAAGGTGTTCAAATATTCACTATAATATACTTTCATTTTTATACCTTAAAAGTAAAAAAAAATATGTTCTCTAAAATTTACTTTCATTTTTATTCCATAGGGGTGTCAAATAACTCATCCAAGTGTTCTTTCATTTTTATGCAATAAAGGTGTTCGTAAACACTCACCCTAATGTACTAGAATCGAACCCTGTACTCCGGTCCTGACTGGCAGATCGGGGGCGGGGCTTTCCTGCGTAATCACTATTTACAGAGTTACTAGATGAACCACTACACTGATCATGTAAAAGTTTTTGTTCTCTGGGCTCTAGAGAGTTCATTAACATGGCTGCCTGTTCCTTGAAGTGATCGGCAAATCCCCAGTAGGACCTGAAGGTGTGAAAAGAGAATATGATGCATTAAAAATATCAGTAAGAATCAAAAATTTTCATAAAGTGCTTGAAACTTCACAAAATTAAAATGAAATTCATTAACATGTTGAATCTTATTCTCTAATAAAACAACATTCTTCTAAGCAATTTAAGATTCATGCCTTTGTCTTTGAGTATTAATACAGTAAAACTTTGTTACCTCAAACTTGAGACTTTTTTTTTATATCCAAGGATTCCAGATATTGGAATAGATTACTTCTAAGTGGTAAAGATTCAAACCACTTCGACATATCCATGGTATTTAAGATTTCAATATTTGAGATATCTAAGTTAAACTGTATTACTACAGTTCAAACTGTCTCATCCGACACCTGTACAATCCCGTCACACTGTAAATTCCAACATAATTTTTTTTCCCTCATTTTACTCTTTCCATATTTTTTAACATTGTGCAATCCTACACCCTGACTATTCTGACATAACATTCGTCTCCCACTGCATGTCAGATTAGACAGGTTTCACTGTATATTGCGATTATTTACCTGCGTGCATGCAGCCTGGCCTCCGAATCGGCATCGGAGATTCCTCTCTTGATGGAGTCCTGGAGAAGTGCTATGTGTTTCTCTAAAGAATGGGTACTCCAGTTCTGTAGGGCTATGTGTAAAAACTCAAAACATTGCCTGAAAAGAAAGAAAAAAAAATGATTAACATACAGATATAAAATATATTGATGCCTTTGATATTTCTACAAATTAACCCCCAGAAAGGTGTACAATCATTATTTGTCAAAGGAGAGTGCGAAACACACTTGATCACTACCTGTCTTAACATACCCTACCATTTAGATGGTTGACTTACCTTCGAATGATATTGGACTTGGAGGATAAGTTACTGGTGATAATGGGTATAAGGCGAGATGACTGGGTATACTGAAATTCAGATCAAAAACATATAGTCTCATAAGAACTGAGATTATCTCCAAAAGTTCTTAAACTTCCTCTAATCCCAACTAAAATCTTAATTCTGATTTTCAATATTTTTCATATGACTGCAAATGAAGGCAAAGCAATTTAACTTTTGCAACATCTTCAATACCAGTACCAACCCCCCCCCCCTCTCCTAAATGAAAACCAAATGACAGAAATTTCAATAACAACTTGAATCCATACACTTCCTACTTTGAGATGGTGGTTACCTGAATGATGAACTGTATACAGGTGATTCCGGAGGAGGCCATGACCTTGGCACTGTTAGGGATGAGGTTAATTAAGTGTGGAAGAAGGACCTCAGCCAGATGTTCAAACCTCGAACCCATCTGCTGAGACAAATATCTACAAAACACAACAAAAAAGTCCTACATTAACGGTGTACTATCCCTAAAAAAATGCACTGCTTATACACACAATTATCAAAAAAGCTGATTACCCCACCCCCTCCCTTCTCTGCAATTTCAGTTCCCCACACATATCTCGATTTATTTCTTGTGCTCAAATTTAATGAAAAGACAGCAAATTATCTCCAACACACAGATTTGTACTCTGATCTAGCATTACAAAGTCATCCTTACGCTAGAGTTATACAGGCCTCGCGGACGATCTGAGACCTCAGGTCTTTGACGGCGTTTATCAGGCACACGTCCAGGGACCTGATGCTTTGTGGGAAATCGTCGTACTCCATACCACCAGCTACGACCACAGCTCGAATGTTTCTCAACTGAAATTTATCACAGATTACTTTTGAGTTACTGTTGTAAACACATTGCAACTATGGTGGTATTTAAATTTCATATATTACACTTCTATTCATTATTCAATGACATGTAAAAATCCATGAACATTTCTATAAAGAAATAGGAGTTATTTCTCCTGCTTTTAAGCTTACTGCTTCACGGCGTTTCTCCCAGTTTGTGTTAAGATCACTTAATATGGATTGAGCTTTGGCGAGCTGGTCTTGTACATCTCTCGATGAATAAATCTGTAACAAGAGAAATTTTTATTTATAATCAACTAATTCTAGTTAAGTATTCTGTACTTTTATTTTTTTGTGTAACAATGAAATTTTCTTGTATTTGAATCACTTTTCAGCCTTTAATTCAATTCTATGAGTAAATTTTACATTGCATGGCACTAAGCTTTGGAATTTAACAAGTACCTGGACTTTTGGAACATCTTCAAAGGATTTGGTGAAAAATTCTTCATCTACACCACCAGACTGGCCTGCAAGAGAAAGCAATTAAGAGTTATCCGCTGGTCAATAAAGTTTCAATCACTCCGTTGTTGAACATTGCTGAAAGCACGAAGTATTTAAGTGGTTATAGTGAAGAGAATTAATGTAAAAAAAATTCATACTTCACAAAACATGTACATGTGTGCAATTTAAATTGATACTCAATTTATGTGAATAACTTCAAGCATCAATATTTATAGTTTCATTGAGAATGTTTACCAACTGTGCTCTTTTAAAAATTTTATTTTAGATGTAGTCTCTGATATAAAATGCAGCGTTGTTGAGTGCAAGTGTGCACAGGTGCAAAAGCTTAAGTGTAAATCCTGTTCTCTCTTATGAAAAAGCTCCTTCGTGACACACTTAATCAAAAACAATACACAATGTCTATTACTTCTATTTCATACTAAAAAAAAACAAACACCACAGCAAAAGAGAGAAAAAAACCCACAAACATACATTCCTTAAAGCATAAGGCCCATTGGCCACAACAATCACCTGAATTAATTTAGCAATTTGAACCTAATTACAAAAGTAAGGGGAATGTCAATATTGTTGTTGCAATGCCATCCACACAGGGAAAAACAATGATTAACATTAGACTATTTTATGCACCTGATGATCACATGTTATGATATTGGTGACTGCAAATGACAATCACTTCTTGGGAAGCAATAGTTCTGACAGTCAGTTGTTAAGACCTTGAACTCTGATTTTTTGACTACATACAATCACTATAGGCCTACTGTGATTAGACTTATTGTTAATGTACTTTTTTTCAGAAATATAACAGTGAAAAAAAGTTAACACTGATGTGAAATAACATCACATAATTGTAATTAAATAAATACGAGACTCAGTCTAGAGCTTCATGCAATAAAATATATAACAAGTGAAATGGAGATGGAGAAAATTCAGTTTGCTGGAAAAGCAACAGTGTTGGTCTCCAGTTTTTCTTTTTCTTTAAAAAAAAGTGGTAAAATGAAAGCTGCAACCTGCAGTGACCTTGCACACATTTATTGTAACTTTAAAAGACATATGCCCATAAAAAATTTGATAAGAATCTGCTTATGAACTTTTGGCTTAGGTGAACAAACAAGAGGAAGAACCAGTTTCGATAAATTAAAAATCCTGAACGTCAACAAAATAACTGTGACACATGGCGCAAAAATTTCTGGCAAATGTAGCATGCTAGATGACCTTCTTTGTTCCAGTATAGAATAATCACTTCATTCAATGAACAAATTTATTTCTCTTTTCAAATTTCATGGGGGAATTCATAGATCATTAAAAGAGGTGGAGGTAGACCCATTGATCAAATTAACAATTTATCATACATATACCACACAGGTACTGAAAAATGAAGTATTTACATATAATTTACATTTTACACAAAAACAGATCATATACCATTGAGTGCATCCTATTATATAATGATGTCAAGAAAACGTATAAATATATACCAGGTGTAGTGCAGAAATGATTGAAAAGTCCACTCATGGCGGTAACTATTTGCCATAAAATACTGAACAATTCAACAATATTCACAATACTGTCACACAGTATGTATACTGCTCTACATTACATTTATAGAGAAAAGTGTGCACTAAATACTTTAAAAAGTTTCACCAATTTCTTCACTGATTTTTTTTTTTTGGTATTGTATTCATATATACACATTCTAATTTAAAAAAATTTTTTTTTTAATTTATTTCTAAGCCATCAAATCAATGGAGAAATTCTTCATCAGAAAGTGTTCCAAAATTTTAAATTACTTAAACTGATGAATGCACATTTCTCCCACACTGAAAAAATTTGAAAATTTACACAGTGCTTTTAAATTGACATCTAGATGGTACACAAATAGGAAAACATGTATACGATATCAGGTAAACATGTATAAGCGAAGCTACCCATTCTTAAAAACTCTACTACAGCATGCAGTCTTGGGGAGAAATCTGCAAAGGGGTCTCAGACTTTGCTTAACACATGGAAACATGCAAAATGAAAGGGAGCTATCTTTCTGTACCAAAATCACCCTAATGTCTACCCATGTCCTTTCACATGGGGGTCAAAAATCAGAGAAATTGACAAATGTCCAAATGCTCTCATAAATTTACTACCGACCCTATAATTTAGCTGATGAAGCCTGTAAAAAAATCAACATTCAAAGCCTCACATAAATAAGGATGTAATTACTGGTCTCCACAGGGGCTAACAAAGCTTATTTATTCATTTTACCCAACAAATTTAACAAATCCAAAAATAGCTGCCAATATATTGGAAATAAACCTTCAATTTCTAAAAGAAAATACACTCAATATCTCCCTCCCCTCCCCCTTACTGTAACAATATTTGTGCGAAAAATACAAGTATTTGAACTATTTCCAAATATTGATCTTTCCCCTTTTATTTGCTGAAGCCTGACTAAAAATTTTTTAAAACCTGAAGTATGTTTACCCCTGAAAGGTAAACATCCTCTCTTTCTGATGTTGTTAGAATGTAACAACTTTCACCACTGTCTTACAAACACAGAGCTCAGGATAGAAATAGGAGGATTACAGCACTGTTGACAAATCTTAACCCTAAAAATAACAGCAACTGTAGGCTTGCATTACCTTGGTCTATAACAGTGGGAAAGTTGACTTCAAGTGAAAAGATAATGCAATATTGTGAAAGGATTCACATCCGGATCCCCCTTCCCACTCCCCCATTCTAAGAAAATCTCAGAAATCAACTCCCACCTTCCACACCCAAATTCTCCCTGCATTCCATTCCTCCATGCCCCACCCCCCCCCCCTTACTCATAACAATGGTTTGGTACAGAAAGACAACTAGGGGAAGCAACTCTAATAGTGACACTGTTACCTGATGTATGAGGGCCCGCGATCGAGCGTCGTCTCTTCAGGGTAGTGGAGGCTAATATCAGTAAAATACAGTTAGTCATCTTAACCAAAACCCCAAACAGTATGGTCAGAAAACTAGCACCAATGATAGTACTGGTAAATACAGAATCTATACAGCTAGACCTCTAACAATAACTTTATTACTCCAAGTTCCATCATACGCAACAATCCATTCTATAATTAGGAAATATTTTCAAGTTGCTTCATTTCTAATACAATTTTTTTTTTAAATAGCACATATTTTTTGCTTTACAATGCACATGCTAACTGTAGCTGGAAGCAAATTTTACTAAAGGCCTTTAGCTATGTTGGAACATTTACGCAAATTTTTTTTAAGCTTTATTCTCATGAAACTTGTTACTCCATAAAATATAACATACACACGAGGGGTATCATATGAAGCTCATAATAACTACACATATGTTTAGCAAATTTTAGCAATATAAATAGCGACAGATTGATGCATCCAATCACACGATACCCACCTGTGCCGGACTTTGAGGCGGGGAGCATGCTTCTCCTGGTCCCCGATGTGGAAGAGGCTGAAGAAGACGCCCGCTTGGCCTGGGGCACCTTGGTGGACAACGGTTTGGCGAAGTCTGTGTCATCTTCAGATCTGTGACTGCTGTGACTGGGAGCTAAAATAATTAAACATCAAAATTAAATATTAAAATTATTATAAAATCAAAATACAATGAATGTTTGTGTCATTTACATTATCAACAAAAATATCTCAAACAATTTTAAAACAGATGAAGCAATGATCTGTCAATTGCAAATAATTTCTTTTCTTCCAAAGAAGATTCTCATCACAATTTTTACCTTTTTTGCTAGACCCAATAAACTCTTTGCATTTTTGCAAAAAAGACTTTTTCAGAGTGGACATTATGCCTGCTCCGAATCATGGTAAAACTGATGTGTGGCCATTCATTATCACCTCTAATTAATCCCAAACCAAACTCTCTCCTAAACTCTCACTGTGAGTCACAGAAAATCATTCCTAGCTAGCGAGAGCACCAAAAAACTAGGAACATACATTTCCTCACATGAAACACAGTTACAAAAAGATGCTCCAAAAACGCACTTGAAGATGTTCAAACAAACAAAAATCACTGCTTTTTGAACACATACAAGAATTTTGCATCAGATAACCCTTTTTCTCGCCAACCTAAATATGTTACAGAATGAAGTGGAATATGTGCTAAATCTGTGATAATGGGCCTTCTCCTTGTCTATTTCCCCCTCCCCAAAAACTGGCACTTTCCCCCCAGATCATCTTTACAGAAAATTGACAGCTTGTTATTAGTGCAGATAAAAGAACAATGAAACACAACCAGCAACACTGTTTCCTTGTTCAATAACACAGAGAACAAAATTCTTCTCTGCTGGTCTCCTAAATCTACATTTTAATTGAAAGCATACCAAGAGCTATAGATTCTGCACAAAATTTTACCTGTCAAACTATTTCTTTTGTTATTTATAAACGAAGGAGAAAACTGCCGCTGCAGCCAAATTTGTCTATGAGGATGTGGCGCATGAGAGTGATAAAGGTGTGATTTTAAGATAACATGTATTCACAATAATGTAGGAATGTGCACCAGAAAAAAAGAGAACAATGTGAAAGATCCACACCAGATGGTATTTCCCAGGAGAGAAACGTTCCCTGATTAGCATCTATAACATATGTTATTGCATATTCCCTAGCTTAGCAGTTTTTTTGACAACCTTTCATTTTACATCTCTGTCAAAGTCATGAGATGATTCTTGGACCATTTCAAAGAAAATGCATTCCCTGAAGCTAGCTGCAGATCTGTAGCTCTCCGAAAAAAATATATTGATAGACCGGAGAGCTACAGTGCCACCCATTGAAAAAACTGTACATTTATTGCGCACAAAAAAGTGCACTCGATTCTCGATTTATTTCTCCATGTTTTTAAAACTGTAATTTCAAAATATTACTAACTTAGTGTTCCTAACATATTCTTTCACTGTTTCCACATCCAAACATTCCTCATAATTGTTGTTAATAGTCCTCCTGACCCTGATATTGTAATCATCGAACATTTCGCTTATTTATACTGCCATTTTGGTTTCAAAGATAATTCGGTCCAATATGCTTCGTTCAGATGTCAACTACGAGAGTACTTGATTAAGGATAGGGAATTTTTTGAAATCTTTCCTTTTTTGGCAATTGAGTTAAGAATTTGGAAGAATTAATCAAGGACCGAGCGCACTTTTTTGTGCGCAATAAATATACAGTTTTTTCAATGGGTGGCACTTCTCCAGTCTATCAATATATTTTTTCGGAGAGCTACAGATCTGCAGCTATCCCTGAAGCCAGTTTTACAAAACATTGCACCTAGATAATGGGAAATATTAAAAGTTTTCTTTACATACATGTACAAGTATTTGCAATCTTTGTAATTTTGTGTAATAAAAAGCAATTTTGTATTAATAACTTCACACCTTCAAACTGATATGGCACATATATCAATCATAGAAAACAAATCAACTTCCTGTTCTTATGTAAGACCTGCTACCTGGTCACTTCAGTTGTGTGAAATTTTACAAACATATCTTGACTGAATTTTATTTACGCTACAATTTATCGTAAATTTTTGTTTTTTTCTGGGTCAAAATGGCCCTTAAAACAAAAGCTGTAATCATTTCAATACTTATCAAATAACCACCTTAAACCAAATCATAATACCAACTGGAGCCAAAGGGATAAGATAATGACAAATCAACTGCAATCTGTCTTTATCTATGGCTTAAAAAGCTTAGATCGGAAACATCAAAAGATGGTACAGTTCAGGCCAGCAAGGTCTTGCTTTAAAATGAAAAGATCAATTCACAATCTAAAACAATGCTAGCAGTTTACTACCAGGTCTAATGAGGTGTGCACAAAAAGCATTCAATCAAGGTTTATAATATATAGAGCCAAGACAAAAACTAATTTTAACATTTTCTTCCAATATCTTTTAAAATCTAACTGTAATTTGAGAATTTTACTGCATTTTTTTTTCTCAGAATACTAAATTACCACAAATTACAAGTACTTCTGTCCTTAAAAAAATTTTTATTATTTCATTTTTCACACAATTTTAACAACTTTTGTCACTTAAGCACTGACATGTAGGTAATCTCTTTTATTTCACATGAAAATGTAAAAATATGACAAGGTAATCTGAAATAACAGTAAATCAAAACTCCATGAAATTGCAATCATCATTTCTTTCTATCATCTTGCTGAACTATTGTGGGATTTTAATGAGGAAAAAGTTGTTCTCAGACATTCCCACTTATGGGCATGACAGTGCAAATTATAGCTCTTTTCAACCGGTCAGCAAACCCCAGTGGACCATAAACAAATAACCTTGGGTTACACTGCCAACCCTTATGACCCGTTAATCATAAATTATCAGACAATCCCCTGCACCTGTAAAAACCATAAAAAAAATCCTCACCCCCCCCCCTCAAAAAATACAAAGAAAACAATTTCGGGAGTGGATCTTAAGAACATGTTTTCCAGGAATAGTATGTGTGTTTGGACACCTTTTTTGTCTTGTAACTTTGCACAACACTGCACAAAGACATATGACCTTAGAGCTACACCATGAAGATGTATGTCCTAACGCAACCACAACCTAAACTTGCCACCGCATAAATCTTCCTTGATGTCCATTACATACTAATATGTCATAATCCATACTAACTGTACACCTTGTGTTTGGACAACATGGTCAAGGTTATGCAATATGCTAGTGCTATATTTGTTAACTGTCAGTATATTTTTAACTTAGCCTGCCCAAGACTTTCCTTATCTGCATACCTTAATTAACATTGTATTTTCCAAAATAAGTGTCTGAACAATTTCAGGAATTCATAAAATTTTATTTTTCAAAAATTCTGTTTGGTCAGCAATGGCATGAAACAGCTACTTTAGGTCACATGCAAGGCCACCCCTAATTGGAGTCAATGCTAATCTCATAAAAATGTTTGGAGAACAATCAAAAATACTTAGGAATAAGTCAGATCAGCTTAGATTCTATAGAAATTTTGGGTCTCTAAACTCTTCGGTCACTGTTAATGTGACCAGCGAAATTATCTCACAAAATGCCACCCCGATTACTCCTTTTAATAAATATATACCTTATGTAACCAGCTTTCTCTTGAGTTTAATACCAGATTGGAATTGTTATGAAATAGCTTCTTTAAGTGCCATTATAATACATGGAAGACCCTTTTAACAAAGTATGTCACAAATTTAAAAATAAAACCCGATCCATTTTGACAGATTAAGTCAGGTGCCACTCATATTTAAGAAATGACAGCTGGTTTAAATGTTGCATTTGTTACTTAAAAACATTGTTTAAACAAAAATATTTTGACAAAAATTCCGTTGGGAGAGGAAAAACTTTTTAAAATCATTGACATTAATTATAAACATTGATTTGATTGACAAAAGGCATCCTAGCATATATTTGATTGACAAAAGAATATACATGTAGGTACTTTACAAATTAATTTTTTAGCCCATTTATAAGTGTCAAATAAAAAAAAGTAAAAGATGAAAAATGTTTTAACATTTATACTAAATAACTTTTGTTAAAGCTTGTATTAAATAAAATCATGGCAAATATTATCAGAAAACACATTTCTACTTTTAAAAGTCAACTTCAACATAATCTTGGAAGTCAACACTTCAAGAATCCCATATCATCTTAAGGTACCCTAAAAAAAGACCCTGAGTTCGAAAGCATTTAATGGCACCCCTAGACAAATCAATAAATTTAAATTTAATTAGGAACTCTTGTCCTTAGTGCCATCAAATAACGTTCAGCTAAATCCCAAGCATGGTAAGAATTCAACCACAATATATAACCAAAATACTCTTACACTGACTTAAGCCACTCCAAGCCCCTCTAAAATCAGTGTTATCTGATCTAAGAGTTTTAATAAGACTACTGAAATGTGGTCTGCTTGTTTATAGAAGTTCTTTATCAACAAATAACCTGGTCATTCTAGAAATGGGTGATTTCTTTTCATTTTCGTAACTTTTCTGATCTTCTTTTGAAGCCTGCCTTCTCATTTAAAATTCTGGCTTTTCCTGCAGCAAAATTTGCATACGAAAAAAATCCTTAAATTAAATAGCTGAAGGTAGAATTGGGATCTTTAAAGAAAAAAAAAAGGAACTTAATTCTGTCATCAAACCTAGCAAATTTCAATCACCCATTGACCCCTGATCAGAGAAATTTATCGACAAACTGTGGCCGGAAAGTCGTTTGTAAGATCTTGTATTTCAAAACCCAATTGCCAAATGTGATAAGGGTAAGTAAAATAAACAAATCTTCAAATTTAAATTACAAGATGGCGAATTCCCCATTGATTTAAACTTATGTATATCGCATCAGTAAATAACTAAGTAAATGGTTTTTATCAGCAATATACATCAGATATCAAACTCTCTGTTTTCCAATACGGCAATATTCACAGAAAACACCCAAGTGTGAACTACCCAAAAAATGAAACTCAATCTCCATGAAATTCTATACCACTGCTCCTCTAACAAAGACCATACAGGGACAAGAACCATGGACAATATTAAATGTTATATATCGAATTGCGATAAACAGGC